TCCTGGTTGGAGGGGGGCACTGGGCCCCAACCCCCATTCTCAGGCCTCACCCTCTGGCCGCCAGGCCCTGGCCCCACCCCTGTTCTCGGCTGGAACATGGAGGAAGGGTGGCAGGGTTCCAGCTGCACGTCCCAAGCTGGGCAGAGTGCCAGGGGGCTGGACCAGGGCTGGGCATGGGGCCAGCTGGGGAGATCTGGAGGCAGCAGGGGTGTGAGGGGGGAAGGGACTGAGGCTGCTAGGCAAAAGAGGGGCAAGGCAGGGGCTCCTTGGGTGGCGGGCACACCTGCCAAGAGCACAGGCCCTAAAGCCAGGGTTCAAATCCCATCTCACCCACCACCTGGTGGTGTGGACTTGTGTCAGTGACTGCTGCTCTGAGCCTCAGTTTCAGATCCTGGAAATATGGGGTGGCTGGGTGCAGTAGCTCAGGCCTGTTATTCCAGCACTTTGGGAGGCTGAGGTGGGTGGATTGCATGAGTTCAAGACCGGCCTGGGCAACATGGCAAAGTCTCATCTATACTAGAAATACACACATTGTGTGGCAGTGAGTGTCTGCAGTCCCAGCTACCGGGGCGGCTGAGGTGGGAGGATGGCTTAAGCCTGGGAGGCAGAGGTTGTAGTGAGCCAAGATCAGGCCACTGCACTCCAGCTTGGGCAATAGAGCCAGGCCTTGTCTCAAAGAAAAAAAAAAAAACAAAGAAAAGTGGGGATCACACCCCCTTTTCATCACCCCAGATCAAGATGAGGAGCCAGTAGTGAGGAAGCAGACAGTGGGGGGTGTGACACCCAATAGGTGTGCCATAAATGGAGTTCGATTCAAGAGTAGACAGACCTGGCTTGAATCCTGGCTCTGCTACTAAACGCTGTGTGGCCTCAGGCAAGTTTCATCACCTCCTTGGGCCTGCTTCCTCATCGGGGTAAACGGGAAAAATAATTGCAGGAACATGGTCGGATTGACTGAGAAGTGGTTCAGCGTGGTTCAGGGTAGATGGAGGGCGCTGGGTTACTCAGGCTGAGGATGCCAATGCTCTGACTCTCAGTTTCTGTCTCTATAAAAGGGGAGATCAGGCCGGGCGCCATGGCTCATGCCTATAATCCCCGCACTTTGGGACGCTGAAGTGGGTGGATCATGAGGTCAGATCGAGACCATCCTGGCTAACATGGTGAAACCCTGTCTCATCTCTACTAAAAATACCAAAAAAAAAAAAGTGGTAGTCATGGGTGCCTGTAGTCCCAGCTACTCGGAAGCCTGAGGCAGGAGAATCGCTTGAACCAGGGAAGCAGAAGGTGCAGTGAGCCGAGATTAAGCCACTGCACTCCAGCCTGGGCGACAGAGCAAGACTCGGTCTAAAAGAAAAAAAAAAAAAAAGCGGGGGAGATCACTTCTACTGCTCTATAGGGCTGTAGTAAGGACTTAATGGGGTCTCCAGCTCCGTGAGTGTTCAGCACACCAATGCTCTCATTATTGCACTATCACTGTTATTTAGTCCTCCTTTTAAGCTTTTAAGATGCTTGTGTAAAAACCATGTACGTAATAGCATGCACACACCACACCATGGGGCGTGTAGAGTAACCCACAGGCTACTCTAAAGCCCAAGAGGCTCCTAAGCCTTTGCTTTTCATCCCTGACATGCGCAAAGGGAGAATAATAAGTTTAACCTGGGCCAGGCGCGGTGGCTAACACCTGTAATCCCAACACTTTAGGAGTCCAAGGCAGGCAGATCACCTGAGGTCAGGAGTTCGAGACCAGCCTGGCTAAGATAGTGAAACCCCTGTTTCTACTAAAACTACAAAAATTATCCAGGCATGGTGGCAAGTACCTGTACTCCCAGCTTCTCAGGAGGCTGAGGCAGGAGAATCACTTGAATCCGGGAGGCGGAGGTGACAGTGAGCCAAGATCGAGCCACCACACTCCAGCCTGGGCAGCAGAGCAAAATTCCATTTCAAAAATAAAAAAAAAGTTTAACCTTTGTATAACACTATTTGCCAGGCCCTGTTTTCTAAGCCCTTGACGTATATGTGAACTCATTTAATCTGCAAAACAACCCTATGAGCTAGGTGCTGTCTCTATGCTCAGGGAGGCTGTGCCACTTGTCCAAAGTCACACAGCTCATAAGTAGTGGAGTCAGGATTGGAACCCTGAGCCAGAGGAACTAGCCCCCACACTTCCTGGTAGAACATCCAGAGGGCAGGCTGGGAGCTGGAAGGAGGGTCCCTCCGCAGCCACCAGCTGGCTCCTTCTATGGAAGAAGCAGCCCAGCCACAGAGAGGATTACAGAGCCCAGCTGTCTGGGAGGTGAGGCGCTGGCCCCACCTCCCTGCTGATTCCCACTCCCTGTTCCCTCTTTCAGGCCCCCAGCTCAGTGAGGCCCTCTAGCCCCCACCCTCTGGGCAGGAAGACAAACAGGGCTGGAACAGAACAGGACGGAATGTCCTCTCAGGCAGGCAGGACTGAGGCCCCTGCCCCCACGAGCCAGGCGGGAGGGGACAGGACAGGGTGATATCTCCCCCGCTCCTGCCCTCTCCGATGCCTCCCACCCTGCTGTACTGTGGACTTTATTTTCCTTCTGCCTCCAGACAGGAAAATAGCCCCTCACCCTGGGGGGTGGGGTTGATGCCACCCCAGAAGCAGCCTCTGCTCTTGAATTTAGGAAGGGATAGTGTCCCCTCCTAGAGGTTCTGCTTCAGTCAGATAGATCCCAAGGAGGGGATGAGAGAAAAGCCTGAAAACTGGAAACTCATGGCCCAGATTCGAGTCCCAGCTCTGCTAGTTGTTGGCTTTGGGGCTTCTTGGGCAAGGACTTCACCTCTCAGCATCTCAGTTTCCCCATTGTAAAGTGGAAGTTTAAAATGCCCCGTCTGCTGGGCGCAGTGGCTCACCCTGTAATCCCACCACTTTGGGAGGCGGAGGTGGGCAGATCACTTGAGGTCAGAAGTTCGAGACCAGCCTGTCCAACATGGTGACACCCCGCCACTACTAAAAATACAAAAATTAGCCGGGCATGATGGTGGGTTTCTGTAATCCCAGCTACTTGGGAGGCTGAGGCAGGAGAATCGCTTGAACCTAGGAGGCAGAGGTTGCAGTGAGCCGAGATTGTGCCATTGCACTCCAGCCTGGGCAACGAGAGTGAAACTTTGGCTCAAAAATAAACATAAGTAATTTTAAAAGTGTAAAAATAAATAAATAAATAAATAAATAAAATGCCTCCCTCCTAGGGCTCCCCTGAGGATTGGAGGAATTACATAGTTCAATGGCAAGTATATAAATGCTTAGCAAATGGCAGCTGCCTATTACTAATGGTAATATTTATCAATATTGTAAGTGTAGATGAGATTATATATCCAATATGCTACACTAGACTATACAATATACTAGGTGTAACACATCATATAATAATCTTTTATTTTGTCTATTTTTGTTAATTTTTTTTTTTTTTGAGACGGAGTTTCGCTTCTTGTTACCCAGGCTGGAGTGCAATGGCACGATCTCGGCTCACCGCAACCTCCGCCTCCTGGGTTCAGGCAATTCTCCTGCCTCAGCCTCCTGAGTAGCTGGGATTACAGGCATGCACCACCATGCCCAGCTAATGTTTTGTATTTTTAGTAGAGACGGGGTTTCACCATGTTGACCAGGATGGTCTCGATCTCTTGACCTCGTGATCCACCCGCCTCGGCCTCCCAAAGTGCTGGGATTACAGGCTTGAGCCACCGCGCCCGGCTTATTTTTGTTAATTTTTTGTTGTCTTCTTTTAGATACAGAGCCTTGCTCTGTCACCCAGGTTGGAGTGCAGTGGCACAATCGTGGTTCACTGTAACCTCGAATCTGGGTTCAAGCAATCCTCTGCCTCACCCTCCCAAGTGACAACTGCTTCCAGCTTTAATTGTGCATGAAAGTAAAGAGGCTGGTCATGGTGGCTCATGCCTGTAATCCCAGAATTTTGGGAGGCCAAGGTGGGAGGGTCACTTGAGTTCAGAAGTTCAGGACCAGCCTAGGCAACAAAATCACACACACAAACACACACACACACATACGCACAGTCTCTACATGAAAAAAAGTACAAAAATTAGCTGGGTGTGCTGGTGCACACCTGTGGTCCCAGCTACACGAGAGGCTGGGGCTGGAGGATGGTTGAGCCTAGGATGCTGAGGCTGCAGTGAGCCATATTTATGCCACTGCACTACAGCCTGAGCAGCAGAGCAAGAGCCTGCCGAAAAAGAAAGAGGGAAAGAGAGAGAGGAGAGAAAGAGAGAGAGGAAAGAAAAAGAAAGAGAGGAAGGAAGAAAGGAAGGAAGGGAGGGAGGGAGGGAGGGAAGGAAAAAAGGCTTTGGGTTGGGTTCGCAGAGACCTGGAGTTTCAATTTGAAGACAGTGGCAGAAACAGAGAGAAGAGCTAAAATCCTGGACATAAACCCAGGCCCATAGAGAGAGAATGAGAGTTCAGGCAGACCATTGTTTAAAGGCAGGCCTCCCTATTTGTGGGCAGGCACTGCACCTCTCTGAGCCTCCGTGTCCTCATCCGTTCATTGGGATGTTATCAACTTCCCTCTGGGTTGCCTGAGCATTAGGCAGGTTAACGTAAGTTTCACACTTGGCACTGGGAGTGACAGAATAGTAAAAGCTGGATAAGTGGCAGATATTTCTGGCAAAATGACACTTATTCTTCCAATCCCATGTGCAAAATGTAGGTATTTGAAATGGATTGCAGGGGAGGGTGAGTGGTGAACAGAACAGGTTGCTTTGCTGTGTCATCCTGGTGGGTCCCTGCCCCTCTTAGGGCCCCTGTTGGTGGTTTGTCGTTAGACTTTGAGATCTACGTTCCAAGATTCTCAGGATGGTTCAGTTGAAGGAAAAGGGCAGGGGAGGAGATTCTGGGAAGCTGTAGGGCAAGGGGCCTGGGAGTCTGTAGGCATCTCCTTCGTGGGCCCTCCCTCCTCTGGCCCTGGGCCAGTTCAGCCAGCCCCCTCCCAGCAGGGGCCCTCCCTGTCCCCCAGGAAATAAACTGCAGATAAGTCAGGGAGGGGACAGAGCGGTCATAGGCGCACCACGGAGAGGAGCGAGGCGGCGGAGGCACCATGGGCAGGCAAGACCACAGGTAAAATCCCGGCTAGGAAGGGCTCCACAGTGTAGCCCTCGCGGGCCCAGAGAGCGCCGTGAACTCGCCACGGCCACACATCGAGGTCTGCACAGCCCCGGCCCAGCCCCCCACGAGCCCTGGCCCCACGTGGCAGTGCCCTACGGGCTCGTTCCGCGCTCCTCTTGTCTTTTCCGAGTCGCCACCAGTGAACGCTGCCCATGCCCTCAGGTCGGCCACCGAGCTCCGCAAGGAAAAGTCCCGGGATGCGGCCCGCAGCCGGCGCAGCCAGGAGACCGAGGTGCTGTACCAACTGGCGCACACGCTGCCCTTCGCACGCGGTGTCAGTGCCCACCTGGACAAGGCCTCTATCATGCGCCTCACCATCAGCTACCTGCGCATGCACCGCCTCTGCGCCGCAGGTGAGCCCCGCCTGGGGAAATTCCCATAATGACCAGGCCCTGCCCATGAAAAGCTACATCCCTGGGAGGCTCCTCCTCCGGGAAGCCACAGACCGACAAAACCCCGCCCGCTGGTGACGTCTTCCCAGCGGAGCCCCACCCCCTGGAAGCCACATCCCATGGGAGGCCCCGCCCCCTGTGAGTTTCCAGCCACCTGGGAGTCCCGCCCCCTTAGAAGTCCATCACTTGTGAGGCCCCGCCTCTCGAAAAAAGGCTTTTGGAAGCCCCGCCTCCTTAGGATGCTCAGAGAAACCCCTAACCCCTCAACCCTTGCGATTTGGTCCTCTAGGAGACTCTCCCAGATGGATAGGCGCTGGTCTCATAACAAATCCACTGGGAGTCTGCGCCGCCCAACTTTTCATTACCGTAGCTGAGAGTCCCTTGTCCCTTCCCTACCCTGCTAGTTCTAGGTCACTTGTTCTCTTTGTAGGCATTTCCTTGAATTTCCATCCAGTTAGAATTGCACCCCGCAGTGGGCTTTGCCACACACGTTCACGCGCACACACACGCACACACGCACACACACACACACACACACACAGTCACACAGTCACACACACACACCCCATGGAATCCCAGGATCCTGAAAAGGGAGAAAGTAGCATTATTCCCTGGGATGCTCTTCCCATTTGATTTCTCTGCCCCATAGAATTTTACTTTTCTAGGAGGCTTTACCCCTTTAGAAGTCTGTCCCCCTGGGAGTCCCTGCTTTTCTAGAGTTCTGTCCCTCTGAAAGGTCCTGCCCTCCATGAGTTCCAAACAGGAGGCTTCCCCCTCAGCTCTGTATTACAACTGCCCATAGGTCCTGGCCTCTTCCTATTTTGACCCTGGAGAGATCCATCCACTTAGAATTCTGTCCTCCAAGGAGGCCCATCCACATCCTTAGAATTCTGTTCCCTTTGGAGACTCCTACTTCCTTAGAATTCTGCCCCCTGGGAGGCCCTGATTCTAATTCGAGTGCTTCATGGTCCTGCTCTCTTCCTTGGGAATCCAGGCCACTAAGATGTACCCCCACACATTTGGGGGTGCACATAAGTTTCTCTGACTGAGGAAAGGCAGAGGGAGGCTAGCTAGGGTCAGTCCGCAACTGACTTAGAGATGCCCCCATCCTCCCTGCCCCGGGTACCAGGGGAGTGGAACCAGGTGGGAGCAGGCGGAGAACCACTGGATGCCTGCTACCTGAAGGCCCTGGAGGGCTTCGTCATGGTGCTCACCGCCGAGGGAGACATGGCTTACCTGTCGGAGAATGTCAGCAAGCACCTGGGCCTCAGTCAGGTGAGAGGTGCTCCCTGCTCTGTGCCTGGCCCTGTACTGGTGATGCTGGGGATACAGTGATGACCAGCACAGCCGTAGCCCCACCTTTATGGGACTCACAGTACAAAGTGAGTCCCATAGGTATGTCACTAGACAGGAAAACCCAGAATGGTCAGGGCTGGGATGGGACAGTCTAGGGGGCTGTGGAAGCCCAGGGGTGGGGTGTACCTGACCCAGCCTGGGTGGGAATGGAGGGCTTCTGGGAGGAGGGGCATCTGAGCTGAAATCTGAAGAACTTAGCTGGTCAAAGGAGTATGGAGAATGGATGGGATCAGTGAAGAATGTACGTGGCAGAGGGAACAGAGGAGGCAAAGGCCAAGAGGTGAGGGAAAAAAAAGAGTATTTGGGGGAAATAAAGAAGTTGGCCACATGCAGTGGCTCACACTTATAACCCTAGCACTTTGGGATGCCAAGATGGGAGGACAGCTTGCGTTCAGTAGTTCAGTGTTTCACGTGGGCGACATGGCAAAATCCCGTCTTCACCAAAAATATAAAAAATTCACCAGGTGTGGTGGCACACACCTGTGGTCCTAGCTACTTGGGAAGCTGGGCGGGAGGCTCACTTGAGCCTGGGAGGTGGAAGTTGCAGTGAGCCGAGATCACACCAGTACACTCCAGCCTGGGTGACAGAGCAAGACCCAGTGTCAAAAAAAAAAAAAAAAGAAAAGTTTATCCTCCTAGGTGCAGAGTGCAATAGGAGAAGCTGAGAGATAAAAGGCTAGAGAGGTCATCAGGGTAGGCTGTGGCCAAATTTAAAGCCAAGTTAGCTTTATCTCCAGGGCCCTGGGGAGCTACAGAACAAATTTAAGCAGTGTAGAGATTGTGCCAGAGAGGTACAGTCAGATTTACATTTTTGAAAGATCCCTCTAGGTACTGCATAGAGATAGATTTGGAGGGAGTGAGATCAGAGGTTGAGAGATCAGCAAAGGGTAGATGCCAGTCTCAGGTGGGAGAAGAAGAACAGGGGCAGGAGCCATGGGGATGGAAAAATAGAAACAAAAGACATTTAGAAAGTAGACCTAACTTTCCTTTTTTTAAATTAACATGGAAGGCTTCACGCATTTGCATATCATCCTTGCGCAGAGGCCATACTAACCTTCTCTGGGTCTTCCGATTTTTAGCCTATGTGCGGCCGAAGCATGCATAGAAAGTAGAACTAACTTTAATTCATCCTTACAGCAAGGCCCATGAGAGAGTTCCCATTCTTTTTTCTATCTCACATAAATGGGTTCCGTAGTTGGTATCTGTTCCTTTTCTCTGCCTCGTTACCCCACTCCTGGTACCAATTCCCCTGTTAATTGAGTGAGCATTTGGACCCAGAGAGATGAATGTCAGAAGATCCCAAAGCTAGGAAGTGGCAGAGCCAGAATTCGGCTCCAGCTACAAGAGATGCTATCAGAGGAGCGAGATCTCCCTCTTTCCCTGTTCACCAGCACCAGCACCATTCACATGGTGAGCCAACAGAGTCCACCTTCACCTGTGTCCCCTCCTAGCACCAGGCTCATTTCCCAAATTGAAATGAAGAGTTGGGTTTTCAGTCTGCCAGACAGGTGTGATTTAAATGGAGTCTCATCTCAGTGCATGGAGAGCCTTGCACTTACTCTTCCCTCTTTCTAGAATACTCTTACTCCAGGGGCCACAAGGCTACCTCACTTGCTTTGTTCAGCAGCTTTTTTAAATGTCACCTCTTTAAAGAAACTGTCTAGACCACTCTCTCTAAAGCAGCCTCCCATCATTGCATCACCTTTTCCTGCTTTTGTGTTCTTCATGTTACTTGTTATGTTATTATTATATGCTCTTTCGTTCACTGTCTGTCTCACCCCACTGGCCAGTAAGCTCTTCAAGGCAGGGATTTGTGTGTGTGGCCACCGCGTCCATACCATTTAGAAGAGCTGGGTGCGGTGACCCCCACCTATAATCCCAGTACTTTGGGAGGCCAAGGTGAGAGGACTGCTTGAGCTCGGGACTTTGAGACCAGCCTGGGCAACATAGTGAGACCCCTATCTCTACAAAAAGTTTTTTTAAAATTAGCTGAAAGCCAGTGCCGTGGCTCACACCTGTAATCCCAACACTTCGGGAGGCCAAAGTGAACAGATTACTTGAGGTCAGGAGTTCGAGACCAGCCTGGCCAACATGGTGAAACCCCATCTCTACTAAAATTACAAAAATTAGCTAGGCATGGTGGCACACACCTGTAGGCCCAGCTACTCAGGAGTCTGAGGTAGGAGAATCACTTGAACCTGGGAGGTAGAGGTTGAGCTGAGATTGCGCCATTGCATTCTAGCCTGGGCAACAGAGCGAGACTCCATCTCAAAAATAAATAATAAATAAATAAATAAATAATAGCTCGGTGTGGCAGAGCATGTCTGTAGTTCCAACTACTGAGGAGGCTGAGGTGGGAGGATCAGATTGCTTGAGCCCAGGAGGTTGTGGCTGCAGGAAGTCATGATTGTACCACTGCACTCCAGCCTGGGCAACAGAGCAAGACCTGTCTCAGTCAATCAATCAATCAATCAATAGAAGAGAGCCTGGCACTTGGTAGGTGCTGAATAAATGCTTGCTCAGTGGGTGGATGGATGGATGGATGGGTGGATGGATAGATGGATGGATGGATGGATGGATGGATGGACAAATGGATGGATAAATGAATGGGGAGATGGTGAAATCATCCAAGCTCGAGAATCAGAGCAGGGGGATGAGGATGGGATGGAGGAGATGGGTCAGAGGCCCTGGTAGACCCCACCCCACTCTTGTCCCTCGCAGCTGGAGCTCATTGGACACAGCATCTTTGATTTCATCCACCCCTGTGACCAAGAGGAGCTTCAGGACGCCCTGACCCCTCAGCAGAGTGAGTTCCCCGGAGGCCTCTGTCCCCACTGTACAGAGGAGGAAGCTGAGGCTCTACCCCTCCCTCAGCATATCCTCTCCTCTTCTGGAACACCAGACTAAGACAAGTAGGAAGAGGAGAGATGGCCCTGCCCTGGGGAGTTTGAGGGGACACATACTACCCCTGGGGGACCCTCTCTGGTTCCAGATCCTAATTATTGGGATGGAGCTGGGGACGCCTGACCAGCCAGGGTGCTGGAGGGCACTGGGCTTGTGTGCAGCTGTCTGTGACCTCCCCACGATCCCGGGCCTCCCCAGCCCTGTCCAGGAGGAAGGCGGAGGCCCCCCCCACAGAGCGGTGCTTCTCCTTGCGCATGAAGAGTACACTCACTAGCCGTGGGCGCACCCTCAACCTCAAAGCGGCCACCTGGAAGGTGCGTGGGGCCTGGCTGGAAAAGGGCAACGATGCCGGGGCGGCCAGGGCTGCTGGTGCTGGGTGTGAGCGCCGAAAGATCTCAAAGGGTGCTGGAGTCTTGGCATCCCCTGGGCTGGGAACCCTGCGGGGCTCACTCAGGTCGGGTCTAGTGGGTCCTTAGGGCATCAAGGAGTGTGGGTGTCTGTGGAGTCGGGACCTGGGGCTTCTGTAAGCTCTTAGGATGAGTCCCTATGGGCCTGGGGTAGGGGTCCTCAGCCCCTTTGAACCTGGAGTCTTCACAGTGTTGGAATCTGGAGTCCTCACGCGCTCTAAGCTGCGTCTCAGCTCCCTGGGGGGCCACAGGACGCATTTTCTAGCCCCATGGATGGTTTCAGACCAGGAGGCATCACTGCCTTGTCCCCTCTCCACACCCCCCCACCGTCTTGGCCCCCAGGTGCTGCACTGCTCTGGACATATGAGGGCCTACAAGCCACCCGCACAGACTTCTCCAGCTGGGAGCCCCAACTCAGAGCCCCCGCTTCAGTGCCTGGTGCTCATCTGCGAAGCCATCCCCCACCCAGGCAGCCTGGAGCCTCCGCTGGGCCAGGGGGCCTTCCTCAGCCGCCACAGCCTGGACATGAAGTTCACCTACTGTGACGACAGGTGGGCAGGGCCCCCCTTCCCTCTGCCCAAGTTCAAGTGCTCTGTTTCCCTCCCCACCTCCACACCCCACATTTCTCTCTCTCTTCTTTCTTTCTTACGTCATCCATCTCTCTCTCTGTGTCTGCCTGTCTCTGAATTTTCTAAATGTCTTTTTTATCTTTACTTTTTTTTATTAAAACACTACCTCGCCATTTGCCCAGACTGCTCTCAAACTCCTGGGCTCAAGCCAACCTCCCACCTTTGCCTCCCAAAGTGCTGAGATCACAGGTGTGAGCCACCGTGCCCGGCCTCCTTTTGTCTTTCATTCTCTCTCTGTCTCTGAGTCTTTCTCTTAGTGTCTATCTCTCTTTGTCCCTTTTCTTAAATGAATGAGTCAAATTGTGTCAAGCAGTGTGGTGCACAGGTTCTGGGAATTAGGACGTGGACATCTTTAGGGGTCATTATTCAACCCACCACGCTCCTCTTGTCCTGTTTCTTACTCCTTTTCTCTCGGTTACAATCCTGTCCCTCTACATCTTGCTGGCTTTGTCCCTGTGTCCCCTGCTGCCACTTCCCTCTACCTACCCTCCCTCTCAGCCAGTTGCATCCTGACCAGACCCCACTCTGCCTCACCCCCAGGATCGCAGAAGTGGCTGGCTACAGTCCTGATGACCTGATTGGCTGTTCTGCCTACGAGTACATCCACGCGCTGGACTTCGATGCAGTCAGCAAGAGCATCCACACGTGTATGTACCCCATTTCCCCAGGCCTGGAGCCAGCTGCCACATGGCCCACAGCCGATACCAGGACCCCAAGCTCCCCTCACCCCAGAATGCACTCCCTCCCCACCCCAACACCAGCTCCCTGCTCCTCAAGCCCCAAGGACCCGTCTCCTTCCTTGCTCCCTCATACCCAGCCCCCAGATCTTTCTCTCCCCAGTTGCACCCTTGGTGGCCCTGACCCCTCCCCATCCCCCTCCTCAGTGCTGAGCAAGGGCCAGGCAGTAACAGGGCAGTATCGCTTCCTGGCCCGGAGCGGTGGCTACCTGTGGACCCAGACCCAGGCCACAGTGGTGTCAGGGGGCCGGGGCTCCCAGTTGGAGAGTATCATCTGTGTCCATTTTTTAATCAGGTAAGCAGGAGGAAGGGTTGGGGTGCCTGTGTGGGGGCCTGGTCTGTATGTGTGGACAGGTGTGTGTGTGTGTGTGCATATGAGCATGCATGTGTATCATGCATAAGTGTTTGTGAGGGAGTGTGCACATGCACACATGTGAGGAATGTGTGCGGCCATGTAAATGCTGTTGTGTGTGCCTGCATGTACACAGGTACATGTATGGGTGTGTGGACTGTTAATTTGTTTTTACTTGCTGCAAACCTCTGCTTAAGTGGACTCTTCATTCAAATTAGAAAGGGCTCTACATTTGGTGGATGTGGTGGCTCACACCTGTAATCCCAGCACTTTGGGAGGCCGACGTGGGCGGATTGCCTGAGTTTGGGAGTTGGAGACCAGCCTGGGCAACATGGCAAAACGCTGTCTCTACCAATAATAGAAAAAAATTAGCCGGGTGTGGTGACACATGCCTGTAATCCCAGCTACCTGGGAGGCCGAGGCACGAGAATCGTTTGAACCCAGGAGGAGGTTGCAGTGAGCCGAGATTACATCACTGCACTCCAGCCTGGGCAACAGAGCAAGACTCTGTCTCAAAAAGAAAAAAAAGCCTCTACATTCAAGTTAAAATAAGAAATGTAACAGAATCCTGGGGTCTGTTTTGCATTTTAAAAATTGGTGTGTGGCTCATGCCTGTAATCCCAGCACTTTGGGAGGCCAAGGAAGGAGGATTGCTAGATCCTAGGAGTTCAAGACCAGCCGGGTCAAAGTCGTTAAGAACAATCTCAAAAAATAAAAATAAAAAAGATGTATGGCTTGCATACAGTAAATTTTCTTTATGGTACACAGGTCTATGAATTTTGACACATGCATGCAATTGTGTAACTACTATCACAACCCAGCTATTGAGCAATAAGTGTGATTGTAACAGTGGTTACACAATTACCACAATTTTGTTTTTTGAGACAGTTTTGCTCTTGTCCCCCAGGCTGGAGTGCAATGGCACGACTTTGGCTTACTTCAACCTCTGCCTCCCAGGTTCAAGCAATTCTCCTGCCTCAGCCTCCCAAGTAGCTGGGATTACAGGCACCTGCCACCACACCCAGCTAATTTTTGTGTTTTTAGTAGAGACAGGATTTCACCGTGTTGGCCAGGCTGGTCTCAAACTCCAGGTTTCAAGTGATCCAGCTGCCTCAGACTCCCAAAGTGCTGGGATTACAGGCGTGAGCCAACATGCCTGGCCATTACCACAATTTTTTACACAAAAATATTCTCTTACAGTCAACCCCTCCCACACTCCCATGTCCCTGGCAACCACTGTCCTCAGACCCCAGAGTTTTGCTTTTTCCAGAGGGTCACATACAGGGAATTATACAGTATGTAGCTTTTTGGGCCTGGATCTTACTTAGCATGATATATTTAAAATTCCTGCATGTTGTGGTCTTTCTTTCTTGTATTTTGTTTGGTTTTGTTTTTTGAGACAGAGTCTCACTCTGTTGCCCAGGAGTACACTGGCGCTCAAGTGATTCTCCTGCCTCAGCCTCCCGAATAGCTGGGATTACAGGCATGCACCACCATGCGCAGCTAATTTTCATATTTTTAATAGAGATGGAGTTTTCACCAGGTTGGCCAGGCTGGTCTTCAACTCCTGACCTCAGGTGATCCACCCGCCTCAGCCTGCCAAAGTGCTGGAATTTCAGGTGTGAGCCCCCGTGCCCAACCCAAATTGTGATTTATATCAGTAGTTCCTTTGTAAATAGTGAATAGTATTCCACGGTATGAATGGAGCAGAGATTTTTAATCCATTCACCAGTTGGAAGACGTTGGGCTATTTACAAGTTTGGGTGATTATAAAAAAAACAGCTACTGTAAACATTCTTATACAAGATTTCATGAGATCACGTTTTCATTTCTCTTGGGTAAACAGGAGTTATATAGTAAGTATATATTTAATTTAAGAAGTTGCCATGGCTGAGCACAGTGGCTCACGCCTGTAACCCCAGCACGTTGGGAGGTCAAGGCAGGTGGATCACTTGAGGCCAGGAGTTTGAGACCAGCCTGGCCAACATGACAAAAGCCCATCTCCACTAAAAATGCAAAAATCATCCAGGTATGGGTGGCACATGCTTATAACCCCAGTTGCTTGGGAGGCTTAGACATGAGAATCACTTGAACCCAGGAGGTGGAGGTTGCAGTGAGCTGAGATTGCACCACTGTACTCCAGCCTGGGCGACAGAGTGAGATTCTGTAAAGAAAAAGAGAAAGAAAGAGAGAGGGAGGGAAGAAGAAAGGAGGGAGGGAAGGAGGGAGGGAAGAAGGGAGGGAATGAAGGAAGGAAGGAAAGAAGGAAGGAAGGAAGGACGGAGGGAGGGAGAGAGGGAAGGAAGGAAGGAAGGAAGGAACCAAGGCTGGGTACGGTGGCCCATGCCTATAATCCCAGCACTTTGGGAGGCCAAGGTGGGTAGATCACCTGAGGTCAGGAGTTCAGGACCAGCCTGGTCAATATGGTGAAACCCTGTCTCTACTAAAAATACAAAAATTAGCTGGATGTGGTGGTGCATGCCTGTAGTGCCAGCTACTCAGGAGACTGAGGCAGGAGAATCACTTCAACCTGGGAGGCAGAGGTTGCAGTGAGCCAAGATCACGCCACTGCATTCCAGCCTGGACAATAGACCAAGACTCTGTTGCCAAA